TTATTGTTATTATTGGCATTTATATAGGGCCAACTTATTCCGTAGAGCATTACAATATTATAAAGGGGGAACTGTTGCAATAATTGAGACAATTACAAAATGTTAAAGGAACAATAGGTTGAGGACCCTGCTCAATATGAATATACATTTTTTATACATTTAGAATGTATTGCTTTGTTAGAATATGCTGGCACCTTGCAATTTTTACACAAACGAAATAGGAAGAGCAGGTGTGAGTCTGAATAATATAATATATGTGAATCTAAGTAGGACTGTTCGAATAGCTTCACCTGAGCTAAGGAAGGGAATACCCAGATAAGACACTGTTTTCTTCTTGATAAATAGATTGATAACTAGCAATGGCATGAGACACTCTATTTGTTTAACTGTCTAGTTATTGTATTCGCACACTGTACCCCTTGCTCCTTCGAGACCGAACGCATACTTATATATGTAAACGAAATATGTACAACCCAATTAATTACTGTATAAACTTCACTGGACATAAATTATACTTTAAAACATGTACTTAAATATTAATGAAAAATAAAGATTGAAAAAAAAAGAAAGGGAATACCATAGGACTAGGTGTTTCGTGGGGATTGGCCATAAAAGCACATTTCCCAGTTACAGCATTGAGGATTAAATACAGGAGTCGATAAAGCCCATGTACATGGCCACATTGTTTATTAAACATGCAGGTCGGGACCTTTTTAATTATACATGGAAATGGTTAATTTGGAAACACTGACAAGACTGTTACAGGTTCAAATTTCCTGATTCTATATATACGAACAAATGTTAGTGATCCCTCTAGTGGTGGAAAGGCAGCAGTGCAGGGACAAAAATGGTCCGTAATGAGAGTGGCTTGAAGGTAGATACATTGGTAACCGATTATAAAAAGAGCATGATACCACCGGTAATAATTCTTCTGCAGGGAGGGGGCAGAGGCTATCCTTTAGGACCTTCTAATAGACACAGAAACAGACCTAAACTTCATGAGCCTATAACACCAACTATCACATGTATAATTAGTCTCACATACATTGCTAGCCTCTCGCATGCACACGTAACTCTCTGCACACACAAACCTAACCAAAACACATGCACACATCCATTGACACACACTAGCACACATACACTAACAAACATACATGGATACATAGATGCACACACAATAACATTCTAGAACACATACACACACGCGCACACAAATACACTAGCAGATATCTACATACACACATGATCAAATGTACACAGATACAGTGTATACACTCATGCATCTGTAGAAGCACACTAGTAGATATATTAAGACAGGTATTAACTAAAAGGCTGTCTGCAGCATAGAGAGTGTGTGTTTAGGTTCTTTTATTGCCTCTGACTGTCACTCGCACACATAAAAATACACACACACGTTATCATTTTATTTAACAGTTCCACAAGACTGTGCTGTGTTATGGTACATGTCAACTATGATTTTCCCCATGTGTTTGGCAGAGTGTCTGTGTGTGCAGTATCTGCATATGTCAAAGTTTGTGGGGGGATATCCAAGCGCACTGCCAGTGCATATGCGTGTGAAACTGCTGTGTGTACCCTGTAAACACTCTGAACTCAGTGACAAATATCTACAGGGATTTGGAAAAATCTATAAGCCCGCCTCCCAGGTCTGTCGATCACGCAGCAGGAATTTTCTTCTGTCCAACTGTACATTGTCTGGTTTACCAAACTGTTAATCTGGATTGTGTATAAATTAATAGCAGCCACAGTCTCAGTATTGGCTACCTGGAGGTTCCAAAATCCTGACACATCAAATGAAGAAATAACACTCAAACCTTTAGTGAATAAATCTACAAAATGTATCCAGAAAAAAAAAAAAAAACATTTATCACCAGCTGAAAAATATTTTTGAGCAAAGTGGTATCATACCCCTGGAACTCACCGTGCTGATTTCCCCATTTGTAGAAATTTGCTCCACTATTCTGTTAGCAGCAGTTTTGTAAATTATTCCATACATATTAAGTATTGCAGTAATTATTAGGATGGTGTAACACTTGTACAGGCAGAGTGTGTATCTCAAATGCCCATTAAAGGGACACTATAGTCACCAAAACAACTTTAGCTTAACCCATTAAGGACACATGACATGTGTGACATGTCATGATTAACTTTTATTCCAGAAGTTTGATCCTTAAGGGGTTAAGGAAGCAGTTCTATTGTGTAGGCCATGCCCCTGCAGTCTCACTGTTAAATTATCTGCTATTTAGGAGTTAAATCACTTTTTAATCCTGTTTATGCAGCCCTAGACACACCTCCTCTGGCTGTGACTGATACAGCCTGCATGAAAACAAAATGGTTTCATTGTCAATCAGATGTAACTTCCTTTAAACATTTTTATCTCCTGCTCTTTGTAAATGGAACTTTAATTACACACAGGAGGCTCCTGCGGGGTCTAACAAGCTACTAACAGAGCAGGAGATAAGAATTTGCAATAAAGGAAGTCTAAACATTAGAAGACTCTTTACAGGAAGTGTTTAAGAAGTCACATGCAGGGAGGTGTGACTAGGGCTGAATAAACGTAGTAATTTAACTCCTAAATGGTCAAGAATTGAGCAGTGAGACTTCAGGGACATGATCAATACACCAAAACTTTTAATTACTCGATTTTAAGGCAACACAAATACCAGAATGCACATTGGTGTCCGGTTTATACAGCAATTCTAGAAGCACAGCCACAATGACAGTGATATTTATAACTAAGAGCAGTGTTTACTCCCTTACTCTCCAGTGCTGGAGCTGCAGTTATCTCCAGGCAATCCACCAATTGTTTAACCCTGGTTCTGACCCAGGAGGGTCAGAAAAACACTCAGGAGATCAGACCACAGACTAATAGACATTTGTTGCCTGCTGCTCTTCCTTAGTCTCTCTGATTATCGCAATTTGTTTTGAAGCCTCAGATATTCCAGGATCTTTGCAAAAATGTCTGAGTTACCAAAACTGAATTACACCCGGAGTTATGGCTTTCGGGAAAGTTCAGACTTTGAGATATCAAAACTAGTAAATATGCAGCAATGCTCATGCTTCCAATCTCAAGCTCTATAAAAATTTTAATTGCTTTATTTTCTTCAACAGTTGTATTAATATAAGATACACCAGACTGGTGACATCAAGGGAAAATACGAAAAAAATCTTTCATTGTAAATGTTTTTAAAATTAATAAGGACTAGCATTTAAAACATTTTGTAGAGCTGAGAATTGAAAGGTCAAGTGACTCAAACCTTTCATTTCTTTACAATGTATTAATCGAATTAGAATCTAACGAAGGTCTCAGAGGAAAGGCCACCAATAATTGGACCTGCTGCAAACAGCCTAGCAAGGGGGCAGGGCAGGGTCGTGTCGTCGAGCTGACAAGCAGCCATCTTTCACAGCTCCGACCTTGAAGCTGAAACAGACCTGAAATGCAACAAATTAAATGCTTACCTGCCTTCAAGCTGAGTAAATTCATGAAGGGGAACAGCGATGCTTAATTGGACATTGTACTACCGGGGTTATAGTGTTACTACCGCCTGAGGCCTAACCCGAAATGTGAGCCTGACATGCGGTGGCCCATGTAACTAAGCACACAGTATACATTAAGTCTGCACATGGAACGGATGTCTCACCCCGTGAAATCAAGGACTGTTCAGCACCAAAAGGTATGGAAATGGCTGTGACAGCCTCGCTCCCCTCCCTTGGCTGGAGGGGTTATCCCAGTCCAAAGTTACGTTACCGGTTATGAGTTCCTTACACAAGATGGACACCTTTACTTACCTCTGTCGCTCGACTGTCCTGTTTGGAAATGTGGTTGGGACCCGAGACACCACTAATGATACCAGCCCCTCTTCGTTGGGGTTCCCCCCCTTCCTCCTCGGATTCAGCACATGGATTTACCAATTTGCATGGAGGGCATAGAGATGCCTATTTGCAGGAAAGGGCCACGGCTTACACAATACTGGTACCGTCGAGAGGTGTCATCCTGCCGTGGTTCCACTGGGCCCTCACCTCTGGAGCTGTGAAGGCCCCGCTCTCTGGCTTAAGGACCTGGGACGTGTCCCTGACTTTGCAAGCCCTGTGGGGACGGTTTGCATGGGCCTTTGGTGTACCGGTGGCTGGAGGTGATGTACTCCTGCACCAAGCGTGTGGCCGGAGTTGGGAGAGACTTGAGGTGATACACACCTGACTGGAGTTGAAGTGACACAGAGAAAGTGCAGGGGAAGAGCAGTCTACAGATTCTAGGTGGGGGGGTCCAGTGGACTGTGTCAGATGCCGAGTGCCCACTGTGCCGTGGACTGCCCCAGTAGGGGACGAAGATTGGCTTGAGGGCCTGGGGGGGACTTTATGCTTCAACACTGTGGATGGCCCTGATGCACTTGTGTACATGTCCAATATCGTTCGGATGTTTTGCTTTCTCAGGTGGAGGTCCTTGGTCGGAGTTGCAATGAAAAGTATATTTCTTGTTGTTGTTTTGTGTTTTTTATATTTATAAATTTTTTACATTCCCATAATGTCTGGCTGAACGTGCTCTAGCAAATATGGTCTCATTAATATCACTACTGCTATGTTCATCCAGTATCTCAACTGTTACTTTTAACTGTAAGGATAATTATTTTGCTGCTTAAAGGGACACTGTAGTCACTATAACCACTTTGTCTCTTTGAATTGGTTATAGTGCCTGGAGTGGCCTGGCACTGTCCCTCCATTCAGTGTTGCACCATGTTTGTGCAGTATGCCACAAAATAAGAGTCCCTGGCCACCCACAGTCCGGCCCCTTCTGTATGTGTAGCTAAGGCAGAGATTACACACTTCCTTGTTGTCATACCCATTCATACCGTCAGTTGGAACTCTGACAGGTTAAAAGCAGTCAGCTGACACTCTCAGCCAATCGCAGCTACCCATTGCTGCTCAGGCTAATACTTCTTTATTAGCCAAAGCAGCACAGAGGGGATGGACTGCCGTGGTCTCTTGTTTAGGATTAAAACATTACAACATTAAAAACTGTTTAATGCTGAAAGAAATGATGGCACCAGGGGACTCTATACACTATAACCAGTTTAATGAGATGAAGCAGATACAGTGCCTACGGTGTCCCTTTAATTTTATGACATGTACAACTGCTTGATGTACTGTTAATTTGGGACCCATATACCATACAAGTCACATACCTAGCAATGACACTTGCTCTAGCCACTGTTCCACTACACTACAACATAGTCTCACCTACAAGATTTGATTTTCTCGCTTCTGTTTCCAAACACAGTCTTATGTTACTGGTTCGCTTATATAATGACGAGTGATTACATGGTCACCTGAATGTATTTGCCACAAGATTTTATAAGGGGCAGTCAAATACTTTTATGCTTTGTCTCCTATTATTGTTGTCTTGAGCCTCTGCGAAGGCCCCTCAAAACAGTATTGTCTAATGTTGACTTGCTATGCATCTGCGTAGGCACCCAAAAACCTATTTTCGCAGTTAGTAGAATGTATGGCCCCAAATTGCATTTCTAAATTAAATTTTTTTTTTTAAAACAAACAGACTAGCAAATACATCACCAAGCAAAGGAATATGCGTACCCTCCATCATTTCAAAAGGGCAAAGATGCACACTTTCATTTTAGGGGTGTGAGTGAGGGGTGTGACCAGGGGTGGCGCTGTTCTCTGAAATATTAGGTGACTTATTAATAACAATTTGTCTAAAACTAAAATGTAATTTATAAAAATAATGATGTATCTTTTTTTTATATATACAAACTGATTTCTGCACAACTTTACGGTACTTTAGACACTTTAGTAAGAGTTTTATTGTTGTGGAGCTCTGTTATACACACAAACATGCCAACAATATGGAGCTCCTAGAAAAGAAGGACATTAGGGTAGAATAGAGGGACAGAGGGATTTAGGCCCAAAATAGGGACTGTCTCGTCCAAATAGGGACACTTGGGAGGTTTCTATATGGCTACATATGTCTTAAATAGGCCTAGGGCAGCTGCAATCAAGGAATGTGTGGGAATTGAGTGATGTGAGCTAGGCCTATCCATGTTGACCATTTATGTAACAGGCAAATTATTCAAGGTACACAAAGCACATACCTTCCAACAGGCCCAGATTCAGAAGAATAGTCCTGGTTTTGGAGTCCAATTTAGCTGTCTAGTTGCTCTGTGCAGAGTAAGAAGAGTAATAAAAGGACACTATAGTCACCAAAACAACATTAGCTTAATAAAGTAGATTTGGTATATAGATCATGCCTCTGCAGTTTCATTGTTCAATTATCTGCCATTTAGGGGTTAAATCACTTTTTAATAGCCTCATAGACCCTGCAGGAGCCTCCTGTGTGTGATTAAAGTTCTATTTACAGTGTAATGGGATTCCAGTAAAATAAAAGTTTAGTAGGCCAAGATTGCCATGAGGCATATGTAGGTACATGTGTTTGTAGTATCAGTTAGTTAGACGAAGCTAAGATACTGTCATCAATGTACTGAGCATGTGCAGGAATGCAGGAACTGTAATTACGCGTTCCTCTCCTTTGTTTCAGATGAGCCACGTGGTTAGACCGGATGGACGTGTTTAGACTCTGTTCATTGATTAGGTTAAGGGTATGTGTGGGCGTAGCTAATTATGGGAGGAGCTACAGTGCTATATAATGAATGTACTCCATGTGTTCAGGGCTCACATATTTTTGGAACAGGAGTTCATCTGAGACCCGATCGGTACGTGAATAAAGGCCTCTTACTTCCTGAATACCTGTGTCCATCTCTCTGTGTTCGGCTTCTGCACGCTTCCACGGTTACAACAGAGCAGGAGATTAAAACTTCTAAAGTTAACACCTGATTGAAAATGTAACCATTTTGTTTTGATGCAGGCTGTGGCAGTCACAGCCAGGGGAGGTGTGGCCAGGGCTCCATGAACAGAAACAAAGTGATCTAGCACCTAAATGGCAGAGGATTCAGCAGTGAGACTGCAGGGGAAGGATATATATACACCAAAACTGCTTCATTGTTACATAGCTGAAAAGAGACTTGCGTCCATCAAGTTCAGCCTACCTCACATATGTTTTTGCTGTTGATCCAAAAGAAGGCAAAAAAACTAGTCTGTAGCGCTTCCAATTTTGCCACAAACTAGGAAAAAAATTCCCTCTTGACCCCAAAATAGCAGTCAGATGCCTCCTTGGATCAAGCAGCTATTACCCCACTAATTAGAAATTATATCCCTGTATGTTTTGTTTTTGTAAGTATTTATCCAATTGCAGTTTAAAGATCTGTAATGACTCTGACAAAACCACCTCTTCAGGCAGAGAATTCCATATCCTTATTGTTCTTACTGTAAAAAAAACTTTTCTTTGCCTTAGATGAAATCTCCTTTTTTCCAGCCTAAATATGTGACCTTGTGTCCTATGTATAGCCCTGTTTATGAATAGATTTCCAGATAAAAGTTTGTACTGGCCCAGAAAATATTTGTATAAAGTTATCATATCCCCACTCAGGCGCCGGTTTTCCAAACCAAACAGATTAAATTTTTTTAACCTTTCTTCATAACTAAAATGCTCCATTCCTTTTATCAATTTTGTAGCTCATCTTTGGACTTTTTCTAGTGCCATGATATCTTTCTTTAGAACAGGCGCCCAAAATTGCACAGCATATTCAAGGTGTGGTCTTACCAGCGATTTATAAAGAGGCAAAATTATATTTTCATCCCGAGAATTTATGCCCCTATTTATACATGACAAACCCTTACTGGCCTTAGCAACTGCAGATTGACATTGCATATTGCTGCCTAATTTGTTGTCTATAACAATTCCCAAATCCTTCTCGTGTGTGGTTATCCATAATTCACTACCATTTAGTGTGTAAGTTGCTTGTGCATTCTTAACCCCAAAGTGCATAACTTTGCATTTCTCTACGTTAAATTTCATCTGCCATTTTAGTGCCCAGTCCCCCAATCTATCCAAATCTCTCTGCAGCAAAGCAATATCCTGCTCACATTTTATTACTTTACAAAGTTTTTTGTCATCTGCAAACACTGATACATGGCTTTCAATGCCTAGTTCAAGATCATTTATAAATATGTTAAATAGAAGTGGTCCCAAAACAGAACCCTGAGGGACACCACTTACCACTTTTGGCCAGCCTGAAAATTTACCATTAATTACAACTCGTTGTACTCTATCCTTAAGCCAATGTTCTACCCAAGAACAAGAATATTCTTTTAGTTTGAAGACTAACCTATTGTGAGGAACCGTATCAAATGCCTTGGCAAAATCCAAGTAGATCACATCCACTGCAACACCCTGATCTATACTTCTACTTCTTCGTAGAATGCAATTAGGTTAGTTTGACATGACCTATGTTTCATAAAACAATGCTGATTATTGCTAATACCGTATATACTCGAGTATAAGCCGAGTTTTTCGGCACATTTTTTGTGCTGAAAAAACCCCACTCAGCTTATACTCGAGTCAATGTCTGTATTATGGCAACTTACATAATACAGACCAGGATCGCCGGGCTCATTGCAAGCCCGGCGGTCCTGTTGGGGGCTGGCAGTGAGCTGTTACTTACCTTCCTGTAGCTCCTGTCAGCTCCCTTCTCCTCCGTGCAGCTCCCTTGTCAGCTCCGTTCTGCTCCCAGTGTAAATCTCGCGACACTCGCGGCCGTCAGAGCGGAGCACGCAGCACACAGACCGCGAGATTTACACTGGGAGCAGAACAGAGCTGACAGGGGAGTTGTCACAGCCCATCCACTGGACCACCAGGGATTCACATAGCCAGGCAACAAGCAGGGAGGGGGGACAAAAAAAATAAAATAACAAATAATACAAATATTAAAATAAAATAATACAAATATTAAAATAAAATAATAATATTAAAATAATAATATTAAAATAAAAAAATTAAAATAATAAAAATGCCCTCCCCTCATCCAGTTTACACACGCTACACAAACACACACTGCATTATTTTTTTTTTTTAATTCTTTATTTATGGTACATTTTATGTAGGTTGGTGGGTAGGGTATGGGGTACAGAAGAGAAGTTGGGGGAGGGGGAAAATGCACAGTCTATATACAGATATAGACATAGTAAGAACTTGTACCGTATGTGTCATGAGATTAGGCATCAAGCCGGCTGTAGCATGGACCAATAGGGTCTATATGCTGCCGTATTGTGGGTCCTATTTGGTTGTTCGTTGTTACCTAAGGATGATGGCGTTATTGGCCACACATATCCCCGTTTTCAGTCCAACTGTGGTGTTGTCCCATGGGTTGGGTAGTCTTCAGTTGAAGTGTAACTTGGAGCCAGGTGGTTCGGTAGTTCTCTGTTTTTGGTGTAATCGGTTTTGTGGGCCTCAAGTTGTGTGTGCGACATGTGAGCAAGTTCCATTGCCTGGTATTCCTGTGCAGGGGTGGTGAGGTGGAGTGATGGGTGTAGAATGGGTCATGGGGGAAGGATTCCAGGGGTGGAGGGGGTCCGGGGATGGATAATTAGGGTGATCTGCCACGCGCGCAGAGCCCCAGCCCGGTGGGTATGGTGGGCTGAGCTGAAGTTTGGGCTTGGCAGGAGCTTTGAGGGGAGTCCTGAGATCTCGATGATAGTGTGTTTATAGTATGTACGCTTGTGCAATCTGAGATTGTGTTCACCAGGGCACGGAGGTATCTCCCTCTAGCCATGGGTCCCAAACCTTATGGAATTGTTTGGGAGTGTCGTGGAGCTGGGATGTGAGCTTATCCATTTGTATGTTATCCTGTATTTTTTTAGTGATGCTCTCTTGTGATGGGATGCGGGTGGTGGACCACAGCTCTGCTATTGCCCTTCGTGTGGAGAGGGCGATGCGTACACTAAGTTTGTTTTCTGCTCTGGTTAAATTTTCCAGAGGCTTTGAGAGTAGAAGGGCCCATGGGTCTAATGGGTATGGCTTGTGTAGAATTTTGGTCAGTAGGGCTATAACGCTGATCCATAGGGGTTTTATTTTGGGACATGTCCACCAACAGTGGAGAAATGTCCCTTGTTCTCCACAAAGTTTCCAGCACGCGCTGGGTGTTTTGTGGATTATGGCTAGGCGTTGGGGTGTAAGGTACCACCGGAACAGCATCTTGTATGCTTGTTCCGCGTGTGTTACACAGATTGATATCGAGGCCGTGGCTTCCCAGATATCTGCCCAATCTGTGTTGTCTTCTGGGGGTCCCAGGTCTCTTTCCCAGGCTGCTATATAAGTTAGTGTTACTTGGGTAGGATGGGTTGCCAAGGCCGTGTATAGGTCTGAGATTTGTCCTCGTCTAATTGAGTGGTGAGTGCAGTCCTTCTCAAATTGGGTGAGCTTGGCCGTGCCGGCTTGTTGTATTATTGGAGTTAAGGCGAAACTGCGCAACTGAATATATCGAAAGTGGTCAAACGATGTCAGGGAGTCCGCGTCTTTGATTTCCGAATATTGTATTACTGCATTATTTTGGTACAGGCTGTTGAGTCTCACTATGTCCCTTTGGTCGAAATGTGCGAAGTGGGCGGGAATGAGCCCCGGTGGAAACAGTTTGTTTCTCCATATTGGGGTCATTGGGGAGAGGAACGAGGATAGTTCAAATTTATCCTGTAGTTTATCCCATAGGTCCAGGGAGTGCGTGATGGCTGGGGTGGTTGGGGGGGGCAGGGGTCGTTGCGATTTAGGGACCGACATGTATAGGTATGGGTGTTCTTTACCGAAGATGGTGTGTTCGAGGTCTACCCACCTTTTGATTTGTGGTGGGGCGTGCCATTGTTGGATCTGAGCTAATTGTGCTGCTTCATAGTAGAGGGTAAAATTTGGGTGCCCAAGACCCCCATGTTTTTTAGGGACGTAGAGCGTGGTTCTACGAACCCGAGGTTTGCGTCCGTTCCAGATAAAGTGATCTACCGCCGTTTGTAGCGTTTTGAGGTCTGCTCTGTGGGGTGGTATGGGTAGAGTTTGAAACAGATATAGCAATCGGGGCAATAGGGGCTCCCAGTGTCCTCCACTTCCGTAGGTCAACATATGCTTTACGTAGTAGTGGGGTGTAGTTTTTCGTGTATAGAGTGTTTAAGTCAGCTGGGAGTTGTATTCCCAAGTATGTTATGTTAGAGGGGCATATTCTGAATGGGTATCTGTTTTTTATGCTGGCTAGCTGTGTGTCGGAGAGTTGGATCGGAAGTAGTTCCGATTTTGCTAAATTCAGTTTATATCCCGCAACCTGTGCATAGTCCTTTATATTATCTAACAGGGATTCTATGGATTGGTCCGGGTTTGTAAGTGTCAGAAGAATATCATCCGCATAGACAGATACCGTATATGGTTCACCTCTGATAGTTACGCCTGCTATGCGAGGATTAGTGCGTATCGCGTGAAGTAGGGGCTCTAGGGAGAGTGCGAATATAAGGGGCGACAGTGGGCATACTTGGCGCGTGCCATTGAATATTGGGAAACTGGGTGGGGTGATGTTGGGAGTGGTATGTTGGGGGGAGTGGTATGTTGCTTGTAGGAACGCAAGGAATGCGTTCGGAAAGTTCATATGGGCTAGTGTACTGTAGAGAAAGGGCCACAGTAAACGGTCGAATGCCTTTTTGGCGTCTAGTGAGATCACTGTTGTGGGGAGTTTGCGGTGTTGTGTCAGCCATATGAGATCTATATTCCTGCGTGTATTATCGGATGCTTGTCTATTGGGTATGAAACCCACTTGATCCGGGTGTATTAATTTATCTAAGTGTGGGTTGATTCTATTGGCCATCATTTTGCTCATAATTTTGAGATCCACATTAAGCAATGAGATGGGTCTGTAGTGTTCGGGCTCCGTGAGGTCTTTGTTGGGTTTGGGGAGCAGGCAAATGTTTGCCATTGTCATGTCCGGTGGCAGATGGTCTCCTCTCAGGGTAGCATTGAAGACTGCGCAGAGGTGTTTGAGGAGTAGGGGGCTAAACTCTTTATAGTAAAGGGCGGTATAGCCGTCTGGGCCTGGACTTTTGTTGGGTTTGCAGGCGCCGAGGGCTATTGCCATTTCCTCCACTGTCGTCTCTGTTTCTATGGCTTGTTTGGCGGCTTGAGATATGGTAGGCAGTGTTATGTGTTGGAGATAGTCATCTATTCGTTCCCGATAAGCTGAATTGTCGTGGTGGAGGTGTGGGGAGTGATTGTATAGGGATTCAAAGTATTTTTGGAATGCTTCTCCTATTTGTTTAGGTGAGTCGCTGAGTGAGCCTGTCCTTGTGCGTATGGAGGATATTTTTTTGGCTTCTATGCGTTTTTTGAGAACACACACTGCATTATATACACACACTGCATTCACCCAAACACACACTGCATTATATACACACACTGCATTCACACAAGTACAATCCTGTGCTTAAAGGGTTACTACAAGCACCATAACCACTACAGCCCTGGTACCATTCCCCGGTAATGGGGCAAACCTTTGGTCAATGGTTTACTTCTTACTTGGGTTCTGCCAGGTGCCGAGCCTCCTCTGATTCCAGGTGACACTCAGTTCTGCAGAAGCCGGATTCGGATCCCACTGGCCATTCATTGGCTCAGCACCTTTAGCTGATCACTCTCAGCCCATGAATGGTCCTCTGTGCAGTATTGACATTAGTCAGCCCAGAAATCACATTGTGGGCTGGTTGATGATGCTGCTGGGGGTGGGGTTATACCTCTGGCAACAACATGAAATATCTCAGTAAATCTATGAAATAATGCATACAAAGAATCCAATCACTATGATCAATAAACACTCAAGTGGTCATAGTGCTTGGTGTAACCCTTTAATCCACAACGGTTGATAGAGTGAGCAAGTAACATGCAATGCATCACATTAGCAAAAATAAACAAGTAGTACAAAAACCAATATGATTACGCAATCTGAGAGTGTTTTTACAAGTGATATAAAGAAAGCTAGCTCGGAACAGAATGAATCACATAAGAATACGAAAGCCACAGGGAGGCCACTTATTGCGAGTATAAAACAAAAATTCTGAAAACACGGGGCGTAGAACTGTGATCAGAAAAAGAAGGTTTGATATTGGGACATCATGCTTCGGAATCTGCACACTCAGCCTATCCCACACTAGGTACTATAATGAGAATATCTTTTAAAAGTACGAGGATACTGCCATACCAGAAACAGGCCTGAAAGGAAGCCAGCACCTGATTACCACGGACCAGCAACATTTTGGACCTAATTTCTTTCCTCTGGAGAGTGAACAGGAACCAATGGCATTGGGTTTGGTGTCCCCTCTTAATGGCCTTCCATGGTGTGGTCGGTGTAATGGGGACAAACCCTCATGGCTCTCAAGCTAGGAAGGCATGTGGAAAGTGGTAGAAGTATCAGGTATGAATATCAGAGGATTCTGGCTGTGCTGTCGCTTATCCCCAACCAGTAGTGAGTTTCAGTTGTTGTCTGAAAACAATTGTTGGTTTAGCTAAACCCAAAACTTCTCACAAAACCGATCAAATATTCTGACTGTAGACTGTGTTCTTCACTTCCCAGCCATATAGTTAGATGCAAATTTGTGCCTCTGTTAAAATAAAGTCTGTCACCCAAACTAGCAGAAACCTCCGCAGTGAAGCCTGGGTTAACCCCTGCTGGTTTAAAGGAGTGCGGGTAGACCTTAGGAGATAATTCACAGCCAAATAAAATGGTTCTAGACTAAAGGTATGGGATTAACTGCTTCTCTCACATGGCCACAGTTAGGCCACAGCTTCAGAAAACCTGAGCTAAAAGTGAAAGGTCTACTTCTAACCCGCTAGAGTATGGCTTTAGATGTTTTCACAAGTAACTTGTATGGATAAAAATTTTAAAAAACAGGTTGAGTTTCTGCCATACTCTGAAAATCTCAGAGGAACTCATATGCTGTGCGACTGTCTGACATGGCAGTCAGGCCCTACCCTCTTCAAAAATAGTCTAAATACAATTTTTAATTACCATCAAAAATATTGGGGATACTGTAACAGAGGTTTATCCACTGATCCGGATATAAGTGTTACAGGTGATTTTAAAATGTTTGGGTGCTGTACTTTGCATGGGAACCACAATATAACACTTTCTCGATGGATAGCTGAATTATCTACAAGACAATTGTCAAACTTGTTGCTACCAATATTATTCCATATTAATTAATTATTCTTTACAGGCTAAGAGCCCCAGTTTGGTTCCATGCCAACGGCCCAATGAAAGCTGACAGGGAAAATGCATTAAAAAAAGGTGAAAAATTAAAAAAGAGCTAATTACCGTTTGCACTGTTTAGTGGGCCTTCCTCCAACTATAGACAGACCCCTCTCACCATAAAAAGAGAATACTAATCAGGAATGTTTAATTATGGTCTATAGGACTTATTCTTGTAACATAAATCTCTGTCCTCCAAGAACAGTTTTACTCTTTCATTTGGATGAGTCAAAATGCTCTGGAGACTATCTACCTCCTGGGAGGAAAAAGGGCTTGGTACACGCTGGTCACGCAGCTTGCACACACCACAAACACAACTTGGATAAAACTGATATGAGACAACTGGGAACTTGTGTTCTAACTGGCTGATGAACAGCTCTGGGGGACAGGTTTAGAATTTCAGAGAACCCACGCTTAAAGGACCACTATAGTGCCAGGAAAACATACTCGTTTTCCTGGCACTACAGGGTCTCTTGGTCCCCCCACCTCCACTCTCTAGAGCCTCCTCCCGCCGGGCTCTAGGGGGTGGAAGGGGTTAATCCCTTACCTTTTTCCCCCGCCGAGCTCCCTTGGCGCGGGGAACTCTCCTCCTCCTTTCCCAGTCATCGGCTGAATGCGCATGCGCGGCAAGAGCCGCACGCGCATTCAGCTAGTCCATAGGAAAGCATTCTCAATGCTTTCCTATGGACGCTGGCGTCTTCTCACTGTCTTCTCACAGTGAGAAGCGCGGAAGCGCCTCTAGCGGCTGTCAATGAGACAGCCACTAGAGGCTGGATTAACCCATAGGTAAACATAGCAGTTTCTCTGAAACTGCTATGTTTACAGCAAAAAGGGTTAAACCTAGCTGGACTTGGCACCCAGACCACTTCATTAAGCTGAAGTGGTCTGGGTGCCTATAGTGGTCCTTTAAAGCTGAGAGTGAGTGCAGAGTACTTTCTACACCAACATCTTTTCAATTATACAAAATTGTGACGGTGTTCAGAGTGTCCCTTTAAAGCTATTTTTCTTGATTCAGTTTTAAAAACAAACAAGATGCAATCTATTCTTACCCATAATCACCACTAGGGGGCTTCAGTTAACTTCATCTTTATGGTTTTAAAGAAGCTTTGAAAATTCAGAAAAAAAAGGGACAAGTTAATATTTATCCTAAAATTGAGATAAAAAGTTTTACCCACTTGAAAATTAATAACTACAGGATAAACCATTGTATGTGCGTTTCCCAGGAATATGACCACGCTATCATGCAAGACAGGGAACCTTTTTGAGACAGAACATTACTGTGGAGCCGATCAATGTCCTTGGTAGTGAGATCCTAATAATTAAAGTGCCTAGCTAGCCTTGGTATGAGTGGCTATGTATTTTGCAGCAAAATGATATTACTTTCCGTTTCTGCACATTTACCCATTCTGGCTACATTCAGAATGCAATCTTGTAATTTTAATTAAAAATAAAAAATAAAAATAAAGTTGTTTCATATCATTTTTTAACCAACTGAGATACTAGAGTGAAGAGCAATGCATTACATAGGAATGATCAAGCCCTGATCATATTGGCCTTTATTGAATAAACTTGTTTTTGTGAAGAATGGACAGAGGATTTGCTTTATTTTTTGGCCTAGATAACCAATTTTGAAAAATTAATAAATTCAATGTTTTTACACAGGTTGTGGTTTTCATAATATCACTGTGTTGCAGACTTTTAGGAAATAGTCAGACGTTTAAAAATGTAATTTATTAATTTAAGTAAAATATTTATTATTTTTTAAAGTACAAAAAACAGGAACATCAAATATTAAAAATGACTAATAGCTTCCATGCAGAGTGATAAGTCTGTGCATCTGTATTGCCTAGCAGAGGTGCCGTAACACACCGAATGCATTTTGTAGTAAATCATGTAGTTATGAGCTGGAATCTCCATGTTTTGGGCATACGCCAAGGTTCTAGAGACCTTACCTGGATTCACCTGGTTCTGAATCACACCTGTCAGTTCTCAGCATCTACAAATTTCCTAAGGAACCCCACAATTGTTTCATGTTATAGGCTGTAAGCTGTTTTGAGCAGGGCCTTCACCACCTCTGTTCCTAGTTGACATTCCTTATATGTGTCATCTTCCAGCCATTGTAAACATCTACATAATGTAAGTGCTTTATAAAACCATCAATGGGGGCTTTACTGCATCAGAAACTCATAATTTCTGAATTTTGTTATTTACTCTCCAGTACCTCTCAATTTGATTACTGCATGCATTCTCTCTCATAATATACATGTATACATCATAATATATGTGTATATATGTATTATATATTAAACAAAAAGTTGTATCGGCACTCGGGGGGAGGGGGAGGATGGGGGCGGTGCCTTACTGTAATGGTGCCTAGACGTGTTTCCTAAGAGCTCCTGGGGAGAAGCTCCACAAATCCTGCATTTTGGCTGATATAACTGCACTTCTGCAGCTGACAGCATTTGATCTGATTACCACAATGACAGACCGGTTTGGGAGCGCTTCCTGCGGTCTATAAGCTTGATCCAGCACGACTGAGATCTAGCTGACGCTGAGAAAGGGAGAAGCGGCCGCTCTCCTGAGTCGGCACAGGCAGGGCTCGTCAGAACAAAGCGAGTGCCCTGTAACCTCCTCCCCACTCTGGACCAGAGGGGGTGATCCCGGTCCCCACCCTGAAGCTCCCCTACCTTCACAGGGCCGTGTGTCAGTGCTACACATACTCGCGGCTCCGACGCCGGTGCAAGATGGCGGACACCACATGTGTCCTAAACTCCATGGATGAAGCGCCTAACATCTTACAGCGGCTGGATGCCCTATTCAAAGCTTTCTGGGAAAAGCTGAGTGCCAGGATGTCACAGTCAGTTCCTAAGATTAAACCACATCCAAACCTGTTGCAACGCTCCCAACACAGACCACCCCGCTTGAGGCGACGTAGGCCCTTCTGGAACACCTCATCAATAGTTGAGGGCAAATCAGTATCGGCACTGCATACTCTTCCAGCATGCAAGGGGAGACAGAGGAGAGAAGCTAGCTGGAGAGGGCAACACCTACTCATTGGGGAACCACAGCTGAAGCCCCCAACGTGAGACCCGTATACAGGCAACCCTAGCTGGAATAGCCATCACAGGAATAGGTTGACTGTACGAATAGAACTTATGCTGCTTGTGCACACACAGCCTATAGATACCCCGTACTGATTACTTCTTGTCAAGCTACCCTGTGTTTTATCCCATCTTGCACAGAAGATAGCTGTCCTAATGCTACACTTAATGGATAGTCCCTTCATGTTCCTGGAGCTGCCTGGGGTGGTACACCATATTCGTGTGTTTTGTCACAAAAATCCAGCATACTAAATAAAGCCCCGGGACCGGACGGCTTCGACGGCTCCTATTATAAAACATTTAGAGAAGTGATAACCCCGAGACTGACGAAGATGTACAATGAATGGATGGACGGTAGACATCCAAACCCGGACATGCTCACAGCTGACATCGCACTTATACCCAAACCAGGACGGGACTCAACCGAAGCAGCAAATTACAGGTCCATCTCCTTAATAAATTATGATGTAAAAATCTTTGCAAAAATACTGGCAACAAGATTAAACCCCCTCCTAGGTAACATAGTACACCCAGACCAGGTCGGCTTTGTGCCGGCTAGGCAACTATATGAAAATACAAGGAGAGGTGCTGATCTCATATGGTGGGCGACTCGGACCCGGACGCCTTCTCTGATCCTTTCCCTGGACGCGGAGAAGGCGTTCGATAGGGTGCAATGGTGCTACCTTTTTGCGCTACTAGAACGCCTACACATGCCAGAAAACTTTGTTAAAGGTATAAAAGCCCTATACACTGACCCGAGGGCCCAGACCAACGTACAGGGAGCAACCCCGACCCCATTTACGCCCGCCAACGGCACGAGACAGGGCTGCCCCCTCTCCCCTCTGCTGTTCGTCCTCTCGTTGGAGCCTCTCTTGCAGAGGATACGGGAGGACGAGCACATAAGCGGGGTCAAGGCGAGGGACGAAGAATTTAAAGTCTCCGCATACGCGGATGATGTCCTGGTCACGATCACCAACCCGAGAGAATCCTTGCCCCGACTTATGACCCTCCTAGAGGAATACGGACGCATCACTGGCTATCAAATAAATTTAGAAAAATCGGTGGCCATGCCAATAGAAATGGATGCAGACAGCATTAACGACATTAAAAACACCTATCCCTTCAAACTTACGAGATCCGAAATTAAATACCTCGGCGTTAAACTCACCTCAGACCCGGCGAAACTATACAGTGCCAATTACCCACCTACAATACAGGCGCTTTGTCGCGACTTGGAAAAATGGCACGAAAAGCCCATATCGTGGATTGGCAGACAACACGCAATTAAAATGACACTACTCCCACGACTATTGTTCTTGTTCCAGGCCCTACCCACCAAAGTCACTAAACAAGACCTGCAGATAATCCAGAAACACATAGATAACTTCATTTGGGCACAGAAAAGACACAGGATTGCTAGACAAGTAATATACCGACCGAAAGCGAAGGGTGGACTAGGACTCCCACTCTTATATCAATACTACCTGGCGGCGCAATTAGCCCAAATAATAGCATGGCACACTCCGGAGGGCTCGCACAGGTGGGTAGACCTAGAGACAAAACTTATGTGTACGGACCTCCCACAATTTTGGATCTGGGTACCCAAACAAGACAGACCACCCCTACGCACCTCTTGTCCGGCGATCCTTAATTCCATAAGGATCTGGGACCTAACAGCCACCAAATACGCACTAAAACACACACCCTCGCCACTGACTCCATACTTACGGAACAAAGCATTCGAACCCGGGCTGACCGCACGAGATTTTAGGGGGATAGAAGACACAGGAATGCAAAGATACGGACATATGTACGACGGCGACTCCTTCAAAACCTTTGACACCCTAAAAGCCATGGCCCCCCTGACAACCAAAGACGTATTCAGATATGTACAGTTGAGAGACTTTGACAAAAACCCAGATATCAAAAAAGCAGCACAAACCCCTATGACATTTTTCGAACAAATGTGCAACGCAGAAACTACACAAAAGGGGCTGATCACGGCCATATATGCGCAGTTGAGTTCCCCAGAAAAGGGAACCGCAGACCCTAGGTATATACACCAGTGGGAGGAGGACCTAGGGGGGGCTCTAGAAGGGGAGGACTGGGTGGATATCTGGGAAGCGACGGCCAAGACGTCAATTTGTGTACTACACCAAGAACAATCCTATAAAATGCTTATGAGGTGGTACACAACACCGGTACAACTCCATAAGATGGGGAAAACCACGACAGACACATGCTGGAAAGGCTGCGGAGGCAAAGGCACCTTTGTTCACATGTGGTGGGAGTGCCCCGAAGTGACCAAATATTGGAAAAGGGTCCAAACATTAGTGAAAGAGGTACTTACGCGACACATAGACTTAGATCCCTGGGCGATGCTACTGTCCCGACCAACGGACGGCCTTCCTAGGAAGGAGCAACAACTTTTAAATAAACTCACACTGGCTGCGAGGCGAGCCCTCGCGCAGATGTGGCTTAAACCCACAGTCCCCACAGACAACGACGTGATAGTTAAAATCAAAGACTCCTATTTGATGGACAAACTCACAGCACAAATCAGAAATACGGAAAAAACATTCCAAAACATCTGGCTTCCCTGGGAAGTGTACGCTAACGAAGATGCTATATAGCCTGTAAAAGGTTCGCAGTGGTTCGGCGGACCTCCTCCCGCCGGGCGCCCCGAGGTATACCAACCATTTCCTCTCCCCCTCCTGCTCCATCCCCACAGCACCGCTTAGTGGCCCCCCCCCCTCCTCCCCAACTTTTAAAACCAATGACTATACGAGACTCCAAAACTTAGGACAGCCGGCTGCCATGACCACCGGGAGACGCAGTTGACGAAGACCCAAACCAAGACGCAACGGCTAGACGGAACTTAGGATTGTGAAAAACTAATGGTTTTTATGATGTCTAAATGTTACATGCACTGTAAAGTACTAGTTTTTGTTCACGTTTGATATCGGGTCCTGAGCGGACCTAAAACCGAAAACAGGCACCAACCGGTCCACGACAACCAGACCATCCGACAAACCTTTTACTCTTCACTGTATAACTCACTGCAATTTATGTTACATATGGACCCCTGCGAGGGCCACTTTTTGCTGGTCAGTGGTACTTGGTGTCGAACTAAAAATAAAGAATTTTAAAAAAAATTTAAAAAAAATGAGGTGTACGTGATAATATAAAAAAATATAAAAAATAAAATTATATATATATATATATATATATATATATATATACAAATACTCTCTTTAGTCACTTCTTTAATTTACACTGAGGAATAACTCCTCTATGCATGACTGCATGTGAAATACCATATAACTACTCCAATTTGTGCTCCTTTATATCTGCTATTCTCATAGTGATTATCACTGAATGTGACATAACATCTTTCTACTGCATTTTGTTGTTTGGCCATATATCTGCCATTCTTATGTCTGTTTTATCAATGCCTCAATAAAAAAAAATTGATTGACAAAAATGTAAAAAAAAAAAAAAAATTAAATAAAAAAAATCCAGCATACTTACCCTATCACTGTTTCTCCATGCATATTAAACCTATCTACTTCATTGTTGCCTATTCATGCATGTTTAGCCTGTTTACCCCTACAAAAAAAACTGTGCTGTTATTCTAGTATGCCATGACAATAATTGTTTCTCCTGTGCTTGCTACTGCTGTTGTGGCACTGCAAGATTTATGTTATCTCTGTATTCTCTAGCACAGCAAAAAATAAAGAATTATAAAAATATATATTCTACCAGAAAAGGATATTGAGATTTCTCTCGTTTTCAAGTGTAACAAAAACCCCCAGTTAACCGACCGCAAGCACATTTTCCTGCCCAAAACAGTTCCATAGATTTGGGCTGTGCGGACGGTCTATTTTACCCTGAAAAAATGACTAAGTCCCATTCGAACGTGCAGTGTCGAAGGGGAGTAGAAGGTACAGGTCAGCGGTGTTCGCGCAATTGGGTAGCCAAAAATAGTTCCATAGATTTGCCGACACACACCGCTGACCGCGTTCGAATGAATCAAAATGGCTGCCGCCACGTGTTCAATTTTCGAATGGCGGCCACTTCGACTACTCGGCTGCATCCAAAGTGCCAATTCATAAACTGCAGGTCTTTTCCCAAGGTACTTAAAGGGCCAGAAACAGTCTTTTACAAGTCCATGAAGCCAAATAAACAATTACTGAAGGCAAAACAACAAATAGTCTGAGTTCACATGTATATATATAAGCAGCCATTATACTGGTTAACTGGGGGTTTTTGTTACATCAAGTATGTCCTGGTTTTCTTACAAAAATCTATATTCCGATGATGTCAAATAAACATCAACGCTTCAGTTCCCAACTGGAACTTTCATCAGGGTATTTAGACAGTTAACATTAGTCCAATTTGCTGAAGAAGGCAATGTGTGTTGTTACAACCTTTCATATGATATACATCTCGGGTCTGATACCAGGCATGAGGCAATGCTGCAGTTCTAAAGCCCAAGTGTAGGTCGCAACACTTTTGGCACACCTGTGCAATAATCATGCTGTCTAATCAGCATCTTGATATGCCACACCTGTGAGGTGGATGGATTATCTCGGCAAAGGAGAAGTGCTCACTAACACAGATTTAGACAGATTTGTGAATATTGGAGAGAAATAGGCCTTTTGTATACATAGAAAAAGTCTTCGATCTTTGAGTTCAGCTCATGAAAAATGGGGGCAAAAACAAAAGTGTTGCATTTATAATTTTATTCAGTATATATATATATATAAAGCCCCCGATAGGCGAAATGCGTTGTGTGTGCTTTCATTCTCTTTTATGTTTGTTTTATTTGCAATAAATTTGCATTGGAATTTGCCTATTTAAACTTTCCTTGATTGCTACTTTTATTATATATTTTATTTG